TAATTGCTTCTACTATTGTCCTGCACTAAATGAATTGCTTTGAATATCTGCTTGTTTTTTTTGTGTGTGTCCTCTTGGTCTGTCTGAATTACTATTTTACTCGGCTCTTGTCGACAAACCATTAAAAAGAAACCACAATTCGTGAGAATATGGCAGCAAGAATATCTACCTCATAATGCCAGAATGTGGCACATTCTCCAATCCCTTCACATGCGGAGATCTTCTATTTATTTATTTTTTGTCCACACTTGTTTGTATACTTCAATATCCTTTTTCATGATTTACAGCTTGATCCGAACATCAACACTATATATAGCCTTAATATGTCCACTTGCAAAACCGAATGGTAATTATTAATTTCAGTACCAAGTTTGAACATGATTAAAATATCTGCATTCCACTTTTTGATTGTTGGTGTTTACAACCATAAGTGAAATGAAGGCAACATCCTAGGTTCAAATTTTTGCCCTCACTTGTGCCATTTTGTGGAGTCCACACATTGAAGTGGAAAAAATTTGTACACCTTGTACGAAGGATTTTACAGTGATTTTTGTGGTACACTGAGAATTTTCTCAGAAACCTGTGATGGTGCAAAATGTCGTACAGTAATATTTCAGTATTTTTGTGGACATGTGAACTGTTTATGTATTTTATGAACTAGGGATATGGAAATACTAGCAGCTGTGAGACGACATGGACATTGTCCACCATCAGTCTTTGCTAATAAGTGAAGATGTATCACTTTAGCAGTCTGTCAAAGGACTGTCCTACTCCTATGTAAAGGAATTATTTAGTTGTAATGGACTACAGGAATGTGTTGGTTTTGCTGTGTACATATGTTTTTTTTATTTTATTTTATTTCACTTATTGCTGGGTATTGGGTAACAGATCTGTATCTCTTGAAATCCATGTCTGTCAAAGGACTGTCCTACTCCTATGTAAAGGAATTATTTAGTTGTAATGGACTACAGGAATGTGTTGGTTTTGCTGTGTACATATGTTTTTTTTTTATTTTATTTCACTTATTGCTGGGTATTGGGTAACATATCTGTATCTCTTGAAATCCACCCTTCAACATCTCTGCTGTCATCTGTTCTGCCTGTACTAGTTAAGAAAGTAGTTGGTTAAATGTGAATCATATTTATTTGCTCTTTTGTTTTGTAAATTTTTGTCTTTTTTAAATGTGTTCTCATGTTTGTTTTGAAACGGTTCACTTTACCTCAGTAGTGAAGATGGCATCCAAAACGACACCTGTAACTTTCATTATGTGAAGTTTACAAGTTCTTTCCTGACTGACCAATTATTTTGGATAAGTATTTTCTACACTGTACATTTCTTAGAATAAATTACGTTTCATTAGATTCTGCTCTTGTCAATTTTCTGTTTAATTACCCTCATAAAAAAATACATTGCATTATTAAAGGTGATGACCGCGACATTTTTGATAACATGGCGTTTACATGGTGGTACACTAAAGTATTTTCAAGTCACCATCAGTGTTGGGCAAGTTGCTTCCAAAATGTAATACATTATATATTACTAGTTACTGTCTTTTGAAAGTAATTAGTTACATTACAATATTACTGTCTCTGAATTGTAATGCGTAACACTACTTTTGAGTTACTTTCACCAAAATATCCACAGAAGTATTATAAATGCCAAAATGTTGTTTATTGCTGCTCATTCTACACCCAGAGGAGGGTAATGTGGTAAGTCTATATATAGCATACAATTATAAAATCATATTTAGTGGCCTATAAACGATTGATATTATGGGGGAGGGGTCAAGCAACACGAGCAAGCACCGCGCAAACTGTGCGCAAGAGTTATGTCGGTGAACGTCAGTAAACTCACTATAGAGAAAGAAAAAACTGACGGAGCTTTCTAACGCTGCATTAACGGCGCATATTCTCTGAGACAACAAGAGACAAAATTACTTCAATATAGGCTGATGATGGTATATATCTGTCTTAAATTATTCCCTTAATATTTGCTATTTCTCCATGTTGAGAGTTTGGTGTCGCACATATTGCTAAGCTTTCTTATCCTTTTCTCCGATCAACTGAAAATAACAGTAGTGTGTCCATCTCACAAATGTAGAATCCGTCTCTGCAGTCATCTCAAGCATCTGATTCCAGCAACAGAAGATAGACAAACTAGTTTACCCGCGGAATTTTTTCTCTGGTGCTGTTTTGCGGTGTTAGTAATATGTTGTTGTATGCGTTACTGAGATTGTCGTGTAATAATATTACCCAAATTTTATTAGTAATATGTTATATTACTGCGTTACAGCAAAACGTAATATACTACTGTAATATTATTACTTTTGTAATGCGTTACTCCCAACACTGGTCACCATGAAATCAAAATTGAAAATTCTTATTTTTTTAATGGAATACAGTGTTTATTATAATTTATCCGTGCACTTCATTATTTCTTTTTTATTCATGTGCCTCATCTTTAATCAAAAACGTTAACCTCCCCTCCCCCTCAAAACGACTCGTCTTCTCTTGCGGTCACGAGCTATGGCGCAAGGGCGGAGCTAGTGACTCTCTCTCTCTCCCCGCGCGCTGTTTAGGCATGTTTTGTGCCGTTGATCGTCGTCGTCGTCATCCTTAATAAATAAAACATTTATTCATGCTTGGGAATCCAGTGGAGAGAAATCCCCCACCACTAACTGCAAACTGGCATTCAGATCTGCCTCCATTTTGTTAGTAACGCCCCAGCTTCCAACGTCCAATCAATTCCCGAAGGACGAATCAAGTCCCGCCCTCTCATTTCAGATGCCGTTTCACTCGGATATACGTCACAGTAGAGAAGAAAAGAAACTTCCGTTTCATGCCGACTTTAAAGAATACATGGTAACCTTACCACGTGTTGCTCTAACTTGTTACTAAGATGAATTACATTTTAACTACTCCTCAACAGACATGGTCATGAAACATATGCTGTATTACAGATAATCGTGCTCTGTTGCTCGTACTAGTGTACTCACAAAAAGTCTCAAAGGTTTCAGTCGGTTCAAATGCCTGAGAGACCTCACCGAAGATGGGAATAGTGAAAGATATCACGTTCGTTCGTAGTGATCACTCGTCCTCTTATGAACTTTTAAACTTTAACAAACAAGACTGAAACCATTTTAATATATTAGTTTTTTTTTAAAGGGGTCATATGATGAGATTTCAAATTTCCTTTTCTTTGGAGTGTTACAAGCTCTTGGTGCATAAAGAAGATCTGTAAAGTTGCAAAGACTAAAGTCACAAATCCAAAGAGATATTCTTTATAAAAGTTAAGAGTCAGCCACGCCTACCTAAAACGGCTCGTTCTAACACGCCCCCACATGTCTACGTCACTATGTGGGAAGATTTGCATAACGCCGCCCAAATGTTCACACAAAGAAAGAAGGCGTAACTTTTATTCTCGCTGTAGTGTTGTTGTCGCTGCCATGTCGTGAAGACGCTGTGTGCTTCGTTGTGAAAGCTAAACTACTTTGTTTGGT